GTGCAGGGCCCCTTCCCTACAGATGACTCATAATGGAGCATTCTCCACATGCAAGGTGAACGAGCATCTGCAGAGGATTAGGTTGACGTCAAAGTCATTCCAGATCCTCCGTATTGGATATGAACTTGGGGCAGGAAAGAAATGAAGCACTTGGTTATTGAATCACTCACTTAGCTTAGCCATACTTCAGAAGGCAATTACACTCCCAATTGCAAAAGTGATCTGAAATCAATTTTGCCAGAGGAGTACAGATGAAAGGTATGATAAAGGCACTGGGAGCTACAGGAGTCTTACTTTTCACTATTATAGTCACCATCAGGCTTTCCAATGCAAGTGGAGTACTGCTTTCAAGATGCTTGAGGAATCCTCTCTAGCACAGGCTACAGCTTCTTGCACTGGCCCAAAATGAATGGGAGATACAACACTCTCTCTGTGGCTGCTGCCCTCTTGTGTAAAATCAGTCTGGGCCTTATGCAGCCCAAGTTCTGTGCTGAGTTACTCTAGAAAGAAATGCATTTATCTTCTGTTAAGCTATTTTTTTTTCAGACACAGGGGCAAAGTGGCCTTGTGTTTTTAAGGATGTGTGCTACAGTCACCCTCTCAAAAATAAGATGAAACAAAGCTGCATTTGGAGTACAGTTCAAGATGTGCTTGTATGGGCCTTTTCACTTACTGTGGCAACTACAGATTCAGTCAGGTCCTGTAGGCTGGGCTCCTGGCTGGTTTTTCCCCCTTCCCACAAAGTCATTTAGATTGTTTCCAGCATTGACCATGGATGTGTGGGGCTGCTTGTGCCTTAAGAGTTGCTTACTCCACTGATTTGAGCCATGTCTACCAACTGCACTGATGACCTCTTGCAACCGGACTTTCTCAAAACCTAAGTCTTCATGAAATTAGGACTTGTAGCCAGAGTAAAACTTCACTCAAGCACCACTGAAACCCAGCTTCTAGTTCTTTAATCCTGAGGATTAAATCAACCTAGGCAATTCCTGACAGAAATTTGCTTAAACTCATCTAAAATTCTCCAGCGAAGAAGTTTCCAGGTCCCCTAATTCAGCAAAGTCTTTCCTCATCCTCAGAAATACTGAATATGTAACCTTAAATTTTCTTTGCTGCAAAGTTGATTTCTTGCTGTCTGAAGCCTACGAACAAGAACAAACAACTTTACTGCCTTCTTTATAAGAACTTCCTGCTGGCAAGAGGTTAAGTCCTCCCTCCCATCTCTAGAGTTGTTTTTTTGTGGGCTTTTTATCCAAAAGAGAAAGACTGAACACGTTAAATTCCTCCCCAGCTTCCTCATAGGTCATGCTTTCTGACTCTTTTAGCGTACTTACTGATCTGCTTTGGGCCCTTTCCAGTTTGCCCACATCTTTCTGAGCTTGACAGGGCACTCACAGCGCCAAGTAAAGATGAATAATTACCTCCCAGGTCCTACGGATCGAGCTGGCCCATTAATATGGCCCAGGATCATGTTTCCCTCTTTTCTTAAGGGAAAAAAACCAAAAACACACAAGACCCTACCACCTACCTCCTGCCTCAGGCTTCCTTTATTTAGTTTAGAAACACACTGAGCGCCCTCCAGATCCCTTTGCAGCTGAACTGGTGTCTGCAGGACACCTCTTGTTTTTACAAATTCCACTTTCCAAGTGGAAACTTGCATTTACTCGAACAAATAATATAATTCCACTTTTTGTCTTGCGTTTTCCAGATCATTCTGAATGTGGCTCTTTTACAATGCCAACAATCACAGCCTGTGGCCTCTCATTAGTCAATTTTATGTGGATACTCTTGTTTCACTGAAGGATTAATGAAAAAAAGTCATAGAAGGGGATGCATGACATAAGCCTATAACACTGCTGGGATGCAGAATGGGACTTTTTTTTTTTTTTTAAATAGCATTTTCTAAAGGATCTAACTCTGCAAAGGCAGACAACAATGATAAATGCCTTCAAAGGCTTGTAAAAAAATTCCTTCCCTGGTGTCTCTGACTGCAACATTAATAGTGTTCTAATCAAAGATAGAATCTTCTTGCAGTAAAGTGTGGGATGTTTTGTGTAAGGAAGTACAGAAGCTCACAGGAGACCTGTCATTAATGATAACAGTCAACTTTCAATCCCACGGGGATATTTTCCTGCCTAGAGAGATTTGGTGAAAATCCTTATGTTCCCAGATCAAATAATGTGTGAGAAGACAGAGAGGGGTAAAAACTGCTCTATCAGAATGGCCTTAGTGAGGATCAAAAAAAAAAAGATAAAACATCCCTATCTCAACTAGATCAAACTTCTGATTCTTACTGTTTGTCTACAGGGATTGTAAAAACGTATTAAGAAATGTGAAAGTGGTACTGAAGAATTCACAATACTTTTAATGTGCATTATGAATGTGCCATACCTCCATCAGAAATTATTTTAGTTACGGCTTTTAATAAAGCTGCTTGAATATTTCACATCAAAGTACTCCTCTTTGGAAAACTGAGTTTTAAAGTCAGTAGCTTTGGGGAGCTTCTGAGGAAAAGTCACAAGCTTTCTTGGTTTTTTAATTGCTTGGGGTTTTTAATTGTTCAGCCTAACTAGACAGCTCTTAGTGTTCATACCTCACTTCTGTCAAAAAATACTCAGACATGTAAAATTACAAAAAAAGCCCCACAGAACTGTAGCTGCAGGTAGTACTTTTTGTGTCCCTAGTACTCCTTTCACTGAGTTTTAATTTTGGCCTTATGCCCTTTTCTTTTTCCCTTGGCCTTGCTTCTCTGCTCCCTTTTACAACACATCAAGACAACAACGTATGCAGGGCAGCAAACAGTACTCTGGTCTGCAAGCAACAGTTACTAAATAGTCCCAGTTTATCTAATTGTGCCTGTATTGGGTCTATGAAATTAAAATAATCGTCATGACACCAATAAATACCTGTACTTTATTTTGTGTGTACCCTACAGTGGCCATTTCTGATAGGGAATGACTCAGAAGTCATTCTGAGTCATTGTAAGGGAAGAGAAGAATAATTTTTCTGTGATCAGACATTTTCATTTTTCTGAGTAGTGGATTCACTGCCCTCTACTGCTTGAGATGAGCACAGAGCCATCCGGGAACAGCTTTAACTTTTGCCAGCGTGCCAACCCTAATACAACCTGACCTGGAAAACCTGTAATCAGAAAATAGCAATCTCACCTGCCACGGAGAACTAAACTTTGTACTGGTAGTAAAGCTTTCCATTAAAATGACGCGGAATTACAGTGAAGCTATTTGTTATTATCTCATGAAGGTAAAACTACATTATACTGCCTTGTACAAAGGGCACAGCGTGTGTGTGCACCTACTCAACGGGAGCAAAAAAAATCAGGAATTATCAAGAGACACAGATCGAAATCCACCTCCTTACTTTTAATACATAATCTATCTTGCTCAAAGTGATATTTGTGCTTTCTGGTGGTGATCAGCAGGATACAGAAATCCAGATTTTAAAAGTGCAAGCAGCTTTTGAACTGTGCTTAGTGTAGAGGGGGACTTTCAGCACAGCATAGACTGCACCGAAAAAAAAAAACCACCTGTGACTTGCATATAAATATTTCATGTATTTAAGATATTGTAGCACAATGTAACGGTACTTAGGTCACTGAGCTCATGAGAAGTACAACAACAGGAACAGGGGCAGTAACAAGGTGAAAATGGGAAGGGTATTTTTATCTCCAGATAGCAGCTGGTGACAATATCATCACGCCCATTCCAACAGCGTAACTCCACATTGCAAATACAGCAAATCCCAATTCAGCAGCTTGCTGAGCACTTCTCACTCTGTTCAAAATACACAAGTAGTGTCACACTGCAGCTTCAGATGCTCTGGGGATCGCAGTCACTTGCCAAGACAAACTGATGAGGAAGAGAGGCAGCTAACACCAGCCCATTGAAAATCCTCAGCAAGTACTCTGCACTGAGGGATGCTTTTGTGCATTTCTTGTAAAAACAGATTTCTGATGTACAGTTTTATTTGAAGGAATATGACCCCCACATTAAAAAGAAAAGAATGGTTGCCATACTTCAAAACAACCACCAACTTTCTAAAGCTAGAGACAGTAGTTAAACTAGTAAAAGTCCAATTTTAATAGTGTCAGCTACATTTTGATATGCACGATTTATGATAATACCATAAAATCTTTATCATATTTTTTCTATATCACAGGAAAGCAAGAATAATAGGGTAGAAGACAAAAAAAAATTCCCACATTTATCCAATGTTCTTTATACATGATGTTCACACATCTAGTTTTAATGGTAAACGTGTATGATCACATACAATCACACATTACTTAGAATTACTTAATTACTTGGAATTACTTAACAGGAAAATAATTACTTAGCATTTCCCCTCAATCTCATTTCTTTTACCCAGTTTGTTTACTTCTTGCTTGGGCACTCAGAACATTATGGCAAATATGTTTCTAAAACAGCTAGAGGAAAGGACTCTGGGATTAGTAAGATGTTTACAAATATTTTGGAAATTAGTGGCTTTTCAAACAAATTTTTATCCTTAACTAAATTCAGGCTTGTACAATCACACACACAATACAGCTGGTTTTTATAACATTGTGCATTTTGTGCTGCTGAGTGAACATTCAGCTACTTAGAGAAGGCCTGAGGAAATGATTCTACAATGACAATTTACGGACTCATGGTGTCTGTTTACAGCACAATGGTGTTGCTTAATCCTATTTGTCTCCCACAGCAGCATTTCAGTAAGAAGATGCTGCTTTTTTTCTTAAAGAAGAGCTTGGTCTCACTATATTATTTAAAGACTTTTTAATACGCAGAATATGTCACTGTCTGACATGACTGGAAACTACTGTGCACAGAAAACAGAGGCCTGCTTATCTACAGGGCATTGAGAGACAGACATTGGAATAAAGCTAAGGAAAAAAACTGCAGAGTCAGTTTTTAATGGCATTCATCAAAATTTTGAAGTTACTATAAAATAGGAGTTTGCAAATGAAATTTAAATGTACTAACCATTTTATATGTTCAAGCGATGGTAACTAAAATTTCAGGTCTGATGTCGTGTCTCCTTGGTTTTAGCTCTTTCAATTTTTTTCTTCCAACATACCCAGCACACGTAGCAGGAGAAGTTCAAGTGATGCAGGATTTCACACCTTGCTGTAAACAAACAAAAAAGAGCTTTTACCTCAGTTAAGACTTCCCTTTCTCAGTTCCAAAAGTTAACTTTGGAGTTTACAGTCCTTTATTATCGCCTTGGACTAGGTATTTGTATTCGTATTTACATTTTACAAATGGAACCACTGTGTAATAGATTTATGTCATCATTAAACAGTTAGTGTTGATCCCATAGAAACTTTTATTTATTTAGCAGTTAGCAGTTCTAATCTCCCTCTGGACAACAGGTAACAAAATGAAAGTGCAGAATGGTACCTTACAAGTAGAGCACGAAACTTTCAGTGGAAATCACACTGAGGAAGATAACTGAGAATACATTAAGACAACTGCCTGACCAGGAGTATACATACTTTAGGAAGTGTGTATATCATAAAATTGATGAGTGTGTTAATAAAAATGAGAGGGAAAAGGTTCATTGCCATCTAAAGGTGCAGCCAGCAAAAGTCAGAATTAAGTAGTGAACCCCCAACCAGTTGCTCGTTCGGGAAACAGTGTGGGGATTTGTTTAATCCCAGAAGGAAACTGCCCAGGAACTGTGGAGAGGCAGCCCGGGATTCCTGCCCGGAGACAGCTGTGAGGGGGATCGAGTGAGGAGGGAGCCTTCGCGGCAGGGTACACCGGCACACTGGGCACGTTTGGGAAGGCAGAGGGGACTGCCACGGGGACATTCCTTGGGGGCTTCCTCCGAGAGACTGCGGGAGGTGCAGAGGCCCCTCAGAGGGGAGAGGGACAAGACAGTTCCGACTCCTGCGACGGGTGAGGGGCTGGTCTGTGCGGAGCCGCTCCAGGAGTGAATGTGACAGCACGAAAGGCCTTTAGCAGAACCATATTGCAGAGCTATGGCCACATTCCTTAAGTTTACAATAAATAATCCCTGACGGTGATTCCTGCAGCGCCGCGGTCGCGGGCCCGCCCTCAGCGCTGGCCGCCAGGGGGCAGCAAGGCGCTGCGCGAAAGCGCGGGAAGCGGACACAGCCGCCCCCCCCAACCCCGTCGCATCCCTCGGTTAATTCCCTAAACTTCAGCACAGCAAATACCCTCAGTACCAGCACCGCCAGCCAACTGCTCCCTCCCTGTATTCAAAATACACTTGGTGCATAACGCTGATTTCACCAGTAACCTCTGCAAAAAGCAGTTTGTCCAGAGCGGCACCTCCCCGGCATGCTCGAACAGCTTCTCATTCTGTTAATAAGAAGCCAGCATCAGTATGCCAGTGTGTTCCAAAGCATTCTAAAGGCACGTCTCAATGCCGACAATTTTATTTCTTCTGAATAACAAATGTCAAAGTAGAGAGTGTTATTCTTCCTGCTATTTCTGGCTCAGTGCACTGGGTGGATGAAGGAATTTCCCTAGCTCAAGCTATTCAACCATTGATGTCTATGCTTCTGCTTTGCCACTGGCTAGTGTGCCCTCTCTTACCTTCTGCACAATGCAAGACTGCTGTCCTTCCTTGTGTTACTGGAAAGAAGACATCACTTCCAGTTGCTATGTTTTTTCACCCCTCATTCAGGCAGTGTAGCTGTTCCCAGTTTAGCTCACCTGAAGCCAAACAGGTTGTGTCACAGCTAGCTGGACAATATAAAAGCAGAAGTAGAACCCAAGGCAAGTTAAGACCACCATCAGCTGGCCTTGATGAGGAGTAACACCAGTCCCGTTTCCAATTCAGAATTCACAGCAGAAGTAGTGTCAGACTACAGCAGAAGTGGACCCAGTGTCCTTAATTTAGCTCTGTTACCTCATCTAGTCCTTACTTAAGCAAAATCATATTGGCCCCAACTGCTGTGCCAACATTGGCAACAGCTGCTAAAACCAGTGTTACCTGGGCTGCCTCCGAAAGTTCAACGAGTCCAGAAAGTCTCCCATGCTTCACAGACACATTATCCCCGGGAAGCCAAACAGTTCCTCTTAAAAGTGCAGGAGAAATGACACTAAGTTAATTGAGAACACAGGTTTAAACAATTCTATTCAGATATTTTTCCTACCTAATAATAAAAACCAGAGATTAAGGGCAATGGAGTTATGTTTTTGTTGGATGGTTCTAGGTGATGAAAAAACAGATGAAGGTGGCTCTCCAGCAAAGCCAGCACTTCAGATACTGTTCCATTTTTCTGCCATTAACTGCTACTACTCCTCTTAGCCCACCTGACTACTGTCTCTGATGGCTTTGCTGCAGCACCCATTCAATTTAGGTGCATTTTGTACTCAGGATAACTAATAAAACTGTAGCTGTAAGGACTGAATTGGTACCATCAGGTTTTACCTAGTTTCCCTATGAAAGACATGATAGCTATTTGTTGGGTTTTCCTGGTGTCACATGTTTAATATAGCAAGTTGTCTTTTGGCACCAAACTGTGTTTGGAACTATCTCCTCTCTCTTGCATCATCACTCGTGATCAAGAGCCTTCTCTGACATTTTTAATGGCTAAAGCACTTGTTTCAAGAAGTTGAGAGAAATTAGAACACTGAAAACCAAATACTCGGTCTTCAGTTTTTATCCCAGTTCTCTTGCACCCACAAAAGACATCCAGGTCACATTATCTTTGTGTTTTCCACTTTTATACAGAATTTTCCTTCCTCACTGAGTAACAAATATTCTCACCTACTGCAAAAAAGTAATGGTCTCCCCAGCACATCCTTATATAGCTCTTTGAGTAGAATCTCTCTCTAAAAATAGAAATCTCTTTGACATTGAAGCTCCAGGCAGCATGGAAGCTGTTGCACTTCAAGCTGAAGCTTTTGGAAAGCGTGTTCTGTATTTCCTTCACAAGCGTCCCACAAATGTGCAAAATGCATGGCCTGTCCTGTCACGAACTTTGAGTAAATGAGATTTTGTTTGCAGCCAGTGCTGTTGCAGCAATAGCTTCTTAGAAATAAGAAAAAAAAAAAAAAAAAAAAAAAAAAAAAAAAAAAAAAAAAAAAAAAAAAAAAAAAAAAAAAAAAAGAATGCAGCACTGGCAAAAGGTGCTGGATTTACAGCTCTGCAAAAATAACACCCTTTCTTTCCCCCCCCCCCCCGCCCTCAGACACGAGTGCCAGCCTTTCCCAGACTGCCTGACTGGGAAAGATAGCCTGAGTTAAGCCCAGCACTTGCACTGAGGACAGGACAGATGAAAATAAGCAAACAGATATCTCACACATCAGGGTAGCAGTTTTCCCAATTCTCAGGCAGACATTCCTCTTGGGAATACACAGAAAGGAAAGGGCAGGTGGAACACAAATCCTCTTGGTGCAGCTTTTGAAGATGTTGACAACTTGCTCTTACTAAAGCCAGCAACAGAATAGGACAACTCTGCCAGCGTGCCTGCATTGGAGACTGTAAGAATAGGAGGTCTAATTCTTCAGAGCACCGAGTCCAGGAGCATTAAACAGAGCTCTGTGTCAGACTTGATCAGACATGACTGTACAAAAGCAACAGTTGGACTACTGGCATGGGACCCAGAAATCTGGCTCAACTTCCACGTTTACTGTCAGAGTAAAAGAGCATTTCCTCCATGTTCTGACTACTGCTATCCATTCGCTATGCCAAAAAAGTTCTTCTTCCAGCACTGCAATATTCCCCTGGCAGCATATTTAACGTGAATTTGGAAATGCTGATATTTCCAAATTAAGAAATACAAGCAAGTAGTGATAGTAAAATCCAAATGAGGAGATGAGGATATGACTTTAGCCTGCCTTGAGAGAGATTCCTTCTGCCTTCAGTACAAGGGCAAGTCTTATGCTCCACTTGTAAGATACGGAATTTTTACTCTGGTTGGCCCCACACTGGAATTGTGATACATAACTTTACACAGTATTTTATTTAAGAGCTGAAAGGAGCTCATGAATACCAATCTCCAAGTCAATTTTATGAAACATGTACAAACTGACAAAGTGATTCAAGGGTTGCCTACACAAGTAAGGAGTGAGGGGTTGACAGAGTGATCTTTGCTATAGAGACACGTATTCCTATACATTTTATAATTATCTTCAGGGAAAGCCATTTCAGATTAATCCACTGAAAAAAGAAGGAAGAGTTTTATGTGATGGTTTGCATCAATTCAACCATGACAGTTTTAAAGCTTGATAAAATTAAAATTAGGTAAAGTCTGGATATATTCTGAAAAAAAAAATGGAGACAGCAGATTTAATTGTTTGGTTAAAGCACAGGTGTTGTTTTCAGGCAAATGGCAAAGCCCACAGAGGGAATGCTTTTGACTCTGAATTCCCTGGAGATTTTGGAAACATCTCTCAAGAGTCTCAAGTCACCACTTCCTCCAACATTAGGGCCTCCAGCACAAGCACAGCAACCTTGTCTCCTCTTCTGGGAGAAGCAGACCACTGACCTCCCTCGGCAGGCTTAGACACCCTTGGTGTACATCCACCCTCTGAGCATCACTGCTCCTTTCCTGGAGCTTTACTTGAGCCACCAGGGAGAGGTGAGGCTGATGAACATCCAAATTCCCTGATGAGTCACAAAACAGGAGCTGTCCAGGACAGCAGCCAGGCGACACGGGAAGGTCTCTACACCAACCCACGTGTTGGTGCTCACAAAACATTCACCCGGTTTGGCAGAGCTTTCCTTTCTGAACACCAAGATGGACTGGCCCGAGATTGCCCTCAGTTTTAAAAGGCTGTTTCAAAACATCACCCCCTAAGCATGAGGGAAGCTAAGGGAATTTGCGATGTGAAATCCTGGTAAATACACCTACCAGCTCTCCCAGAGGACCATTTTCTTTAGCCTAAGTCTTAAGTTTTATTTAGCTGAACAGTCCACCTGAAGATGACTGCTAGCAATGGGAGCTGGAGCTCAGTCCCTGTATTGAGCTCTCAGCTGAGTTCAGGCCACTCTTTGATTCATACTTCTCCAATGACTGGGAATTCTGTGCTTCCCTTTGAAGATTACTAGGCATTGGGCACTTCCCTTGTGCATAACACAATAACTGTTTAATGCATATTATTTAAATGCTGCATTTACCACATGCTCACGTTATTTGGTTTCTTCAAACAATCTATCCCATTTGCGCTAGTGCAGTCCCCAAAGCCCCCCTACCCTGTAATCTGAGCCTGGCCCAGTTGTGCCGAGCATTGTACACACAGGAACTCTCACAACAAACACAGTGCCACTGCTCTCTCCACTGGGACTGAGGCAAAGCTTCCAGTTACCTCTTCATGATCCTGCTGGTGTCGACTGAATCGCTGCCTCAGCAGTGAGGCAAGTAGCAAGAAATACATCACTGGGCACACATTTCAGGATAACCTTGACATCACTGCCAGTGATAGCTCCGGCCCTCGCTGAAACAGAAACCTGCAAGACGGCATTTGCTCCTTCTTGCTGCCTTTGCTATTCCTTGAGGGGAGGGTGATCATATGCCATGCCTGTGTATTTGCAAGCTCATGACATAATGGTAAGGGATTGTCATAAACAATACCATTTCGGGGAATGGACTGAGGAGGCCGAACATTTCAACTGTCACTGGAGTAGTTTTGCTTTAAGGATTAAATGTGTTGTCTCAAATCCAGATTTGTAATGAGAACCCTCCTGACTTTCCCTCTCTGCTTGCTCTCCGTGCCCCCTGCTTCAGGAGAATGTGGGCAGATGACCAATGGAGTGAAAATGAGACAGGGGAGTCACACAGGACAGAGTAATTGATACAGGATACGAAGGTAGGAATGAGTGGATTTGACAAAGTAGCTACACTAGTAGCTGAGTGGCTCCTTTGCCTGCTAGTAGGATGGATTTGTAGCCTGTGTGTCAATAATTGAGAAGCCAGTCATCCCCCCCAAGTCATACCACTCCAAAAAACCCCTCACACCCCTTATGTCCCTCTCCAAATGTTGCTTAATCTGAAAGGCAAGTCACAAGCCAAAGTTTCAGATTACACAACCATATTTTGAACCAACCTGAGGAAAGCACAAAGACCTCCAGCAAAGTCTTTTTTCTATTTTTTCCCACCCATTTTTAAGAAACTGAAGGTTTTAGTTACTTCTCACATACATCTGCTGCTTTCTACCACCAGCTATGAGTCCAGGCTAGGAATGTTGTTATCTTCGTGACAGTGTGCACATACCCCACCATTCTCTTAGCACCACCACAAGACATGTATTTCAGATGGCACTTCTTGCTTTTTACCTTTCATTTACCTGTCCTTTGATTGTAATTCTGGTATAAGAAATGTGCCATTTTTTCTACTGGAAACACATGGCACATGGTCTTAGGACCATACTAAAAGTGCAAGCATAGAGCAGTTCCACTGCTGTAGCAGTGGCAAGAGCTCAGGCCAAGATTAGGCAGTGGATATCCTTATCACAAGAACTGTCTATTGTAGCACTTCACATGTTGCCTTCAACTGTTCAGTAGCAGATAATACAGACATTTTAATTCTCTATTTAGTCTCCCTTAACCTTATCATCACAGAAATTCTATTCTCCAGGCCATAAGCTGTGCTGTAGGTAAAGACTTCTGATGCCACTGAAGCACTCAGTAGAGATGCATTACTTTCTCAATCTCAAAAAAGTGTTGACAATTCAATCATCTCTCTGCACAGGGGGCAGTGGGAAAGAAAAAATGAAATGCAGCTACAGTGTTCATGGAGAGATCAAAGATGGTTAGGATTTGTAAATAAGCCAGGAAGCATACAGCCAGGGCAAGAGGGCAAGAAGGAAAGGGGATGGAAACGGAGCAGACAAGGCACAGCCACCCTATTGACAGGCAATGGCATCATTCCTCTCCTTGCCACACGTTCCCCAATTCACTGGTGAAAAAGTCAATCAGCACAACATTTTAGTTTTGACACATCAACAAGTATGCAGCTGGACACCCCAAAAAAGGATAATCCAGACCCAGGCTATGCAGTGGCTGTGCTGTACAAAACGAATAACAGACTCAAAGTGCTGTACACCCGAGCTCACTATTGGGAAATCTGCTGCGCCGCCAGCATACCAGATCGATATTTCAGAGGTCATTATCTCATCCCTTCTTCAGCTGCTGACTTTGGATTGCTGCCAGAAAAAAGGCAGCCACTAGAAAGATGATACACCGGTACATTAGGCAAGGCTTTGGGGAATTTGAGCAGGCTTTTCTTTTCACTGAGACCGGTCTGCTCCCTGGTTCCAAATGGCACAAGCACTCCGTCCACGTATAAATGGTCAAACGGGTTCTCCAGCCCTCCCACACCAGTACACACAAGTTGTACCAAACTGTATTTGTCAAATACACTATGAAGAGAACTGAACTTTTATAAAAATACTTCTCACACTGTGGAGAGGAGGAGATAACAGCCTCCAAGCTGAAGTAGAATAAAGAAGTGTGATTTCACATGTACAGTGTAACGGAAGGACTGACTGGAGACAGAGTTGAGCAACAAGCAAACCAATAAGTAGATGGTACCATGTCCCCTCTGCATGAGTGTCCCATGAGCTTTTACATGAGCAAACCATGATTAAAGTTCTGCTTTAGTTTTGAGTTGGTTAGCAAAGCCAGAACCTTTGCAACAGGACCAGTGGATTCTAAAGTTAAAAAGCACCTTTGCTTTATACGGCTTAGCATCCCGTATCTCGTATTTTGTCATAAACGTTATACCACTGTTCAACTTTTCTAATGATGGTCTTTGTGATAATGGCAGCACTCCCATCTACTCAGGCAGTAACCTTGTATTTCCCCTTCTGGAATGACTTTTTGAACATATTTGCTCTTTTCTCTTCTGATCTCTGTTATATTTTCTCATAACACATTTAGAAATATAATTAGCTTTACAGACAGACATGAAAGCCACCTCTAGAACACTGATGTCTCTTGGAGCTTTCCCTTAAGACCAGAAGGAGAAAAGAGTGTGCTCAACTGCCCAATTCCCAGTATCATCATCCTGCTACTTGGGAAGAATTAGGTGACAGGAAATATTCTGTGCTTACCTTGAAGCCAAAGATACTTCATTATTCAAAGCTTCCTCTCGGGAAAAGCATTTGGGAGACAGCTCAGAAGCATCTTTGTTTAACCCAGTTAATTAACAGATATTTGCATGGTCTCACTAGTCTTACTAGTTTAAACCCTATCCAAACTCCCCGAAGAAGGGGGCACAGGAGACTTTAAGGTAAAACACAGAAAACTGTATTTTGCAATGCTCACACCCATCTGTATTTATACCAGCTATATTTATAGCAGCTAAAGTCACAACACTTGAGCTTTAGCATCTGACATGCTCTGGGGGCAAGGCTCCTCTCTGCATTCCCATCCCTTCAGAGGAGCTGGGAGGGGTTGGATCTCACACTTCTGGTGAATTTGCCTTGTCTGAAGGTTTTAAATTGTGGCTGTTACTGTGACTGATTCTGAAGGAAAGTAGCCTATCTGTTGGGAGAAATTCAGTATAGACAGGATGGCAACTGGAATCAGGTTGACGGAAAGCTACCTCCAGGAGGCACGGATGCAAATGGCTTGAACCACATCATGCAGCAGCCTCGTGCTCAAGTGTAGGCATGCTAATGAAAAGAGACTAGAATTTGGTATACCAGCACCAAAGAGGCCCTTCATAGGGGGAAAATGCACACTGCCACCATGGAACATGTGTACAGAATACAGGCACACAGGTAAGTCAGCCCATGCCACCTCCAGTCAGCGACACTGTTATCTCAGTAGTATTTCACCCATCATGCTTAAAATGTATTCCTTAACCTTGAGACCTGTCCTGCCAAAAATGCCTTCAGCTTAGACCAGAACCCACTATTTCCAACGAATATATGTGGATGCAAAGCCCAGACAGGAGTTCTAGGCAAGAACATTTCCTAGTCATATGGTTTTGGAAACTTCTCAAGGAATTCCTAAACTATGCTACCATTACTCAGTAAAATCTGCAAGTGGCTCAAATTCCCTTTCTGCAGATCTGATAATTCTTTCCTGTCAGCTCATCTCTTTCTGTCTACTGACAGCTACTTACTCTTTATATACATATAAAAAAAGAGAAAATTAAGAACACGAAGGTCTTTCAGTTTTCCACATATATGGCCACAAAGCCTGAGAAGCAGTTGCAGCTTCCCTTGTTTTTGTTACCCTGACATATGGACCAGGAAAATTAAATACCTTCTGACCTTTGATTTTCCCAGCTGTCTGTCTGAAGCTTGTCCTGGTCTCCAATATCCATGTGTCCCCAAGCTGCTGTGAAGACTTTTGCTTTCTTGCTGAAGACAGCATTGTTATTCTGGAGCTGGAACAGGAGTTGCATGTTAACCGTGTAGTAGAAAGATATCTGCTGTATAGACACATTTCATGCAAAATAAACTGTTGCAAACCTTCAAGAAGCCTACATTTATCAACCACTAAAACAACTTGTCAAGCTTTATTATGTTTTTGAGAGGGTGTTTTCCCTTTTAGCTTCAGATTGCCTCATTATTTTAAGCACGCAGCCTACAAGTTGATGTCATTACTTAGCTTCCAAATCATGATGCAAGTCAAAGCACCTTAATTACAGTTATTCCAGCAAAGGCCTTGATTCCTTGCACAAAAAGAGGACCTATGGGCTGATAACAGGCCCTATCTTTGTTTCCAGATGTGTTGATTTAAAGCCGAAAACTCGCAGTTTGTTTTCAGATAGAGTTGAAAAAGCATAGACATTTAAAACTATAAATACAGTTTTAAATAATGGCAGGTTTAGAGATGGTAGGCAAAGATTGGATCCATATGCATCCACCAAAAGGCTTGTGCCACTGACTGGATTTTTTAAGAGATGGTTATGTGGCCAGAGAACAGAGAACTCATATCTGAATTTTTGGATGATTTTATAATATCCATTGTTGGGATATTGCTGTAGGGTTTATGACAGAAGAGATGAAGTGCCCTTTTTTTAGTGTTTTTTTTTTTTTTTTTTTTAAGATTCATTTAAATTGGACTTTAACTTAATTATGCTTTCTGTTAAAGTTATCTGTCTGTATTAAAAAACATAGATTTAGAAACATCAGAACTGTATTCAGGGTGTCAAATGTTAGAATTGCACGTTGTTTTCTTTAGGGGAAAGATTACTTATTAAAAGAGAGCATCAAACACTTGTTGCTTTAATATTGGTATTAACAACAAAAGAAGAGGCACTCCCACTTTCCTGCATACTGAGGCCTGTTATCTCTGCCTCTTTCCCATTTTATATCTCTGATACTACAATAAAAGACTTGTAAATAAGAAACCAGACACCCTGTTCTATGCTCACACCTGTATTTTTTCCAACAGTAAAAAAATCAATATTTCTTGAAAACTTAGGACCCCCTTCCCCCTTATAACAGTATTTTCATTCTTCTCCACCCAGAAACAATTCTCAACACAAACAGGCCAAACTGACACTTGTGGAACGCTGTACTGACACCAAGTGAGAAATATGAACTGTACTTACCACTAATTTGCATATTTGCACCTCAAACAAGTGTAAGGACCACCTGTGGGAAGAAAAGGGGGGAAAAAAAGCCTTCAGAAACCTCCTCACATTAAAATATTAAAAAACCCATCAGGGGTGACTCAGTTACCTGGCACACAACCCCTGAAGAGAGGTACTAAAATCTTAATGTTACATGCAGAAAGTCATGTAAAGTGGCAGGTAGATGGAGAATGCTTAGAGAGTACAAAAATAATACAAAATTCCCATAAAATGGGAAGGCTTAGACGGATAAGTTTTTTTCCTAAACACAAAACAGGTCACCACTACTGCAGGGAAAAATTTACAAGACCTCAACACAAGGCACATTTATACAATGGCACTCTATCAGTTAATGATGAGACTGGAGCGACTGCACAGAATAAGGGCTCCGATTAAGGTTAAAAATTATTTTATTTCAAAAGGGCTATTTAATATAAATTTCTCAATGTAAATTTAATATAAATTTCTTAACTAAACAGTTTGCTACTGCAGTAAAAATGACTGCTTTAAAAGCTGGCCAGCTGTTGGGTCCGAGAAGGTGACATTAAATTGGAAATCACTGTTCAGCAGGGGAGTAACAACTGTCAGGGGACATACCCTCGTGAGAACCCTTCACCCTTTGTTACTGGAGTTTAGTCAACAGTTTAAAAAGAAAACACAAAGTCGCCGCTAGTAAAGCTTGCAGATGACCCCACTAGAGCAGTAAACAATAATGAAGATGGACAAGTGATCTACACAAGTCCCCTTTGCCTGGTAATCTGTGCTATTTTGGGCAACATGTTTCATCACAACAAAGCACAAGGCCACCCAAAACCAACACTGAGGACACACAAATAAACATAAACAAGGTTCACTGAAACCAGCTTCAAGCCCTGAGGGCCAACAGCAGTGCAGATGAGGCTTCAGGAATTAGACAGGATATTCAATGGAATAGGCTCTTCCAGAAGCTACTCTGTCTGTACGAGCAAGTGGCCTGAAATGGCAGGGAAGTTTATTTCCACTCCATCCAGTGGCAATATTTTTCTGTTGTGTTGTTTAAAAGGGGCCAGCAAACTGGAAAAGGATCAGTAAATAGTTTTGAGAACAACCCATGGTTTGGAAAGTTTGCTTTGAATCGAGAGTCAAGCTGTGCAAATATATGTATATTTTAAAGCCACAGCAGTCTCACTTGAATAGATAAAGGTTTTAAATGGATTGCATAAATGCTCAGATTGCCCATTTCCTGAAACTGGTTGCTCAGTCAGGCTACATGCGAAGCACAGCACTTAGACACACATCCCAGATACAGGTACATACCCCCAGGCCCAGAATAAACTCCAAAATAAAATTAAGATATACATCATCCCTCCCAAAAGTCAACGGTAAAAACAAGATGATGAAATATCCTAATAATTCTTCATTGAGCAATTAGAGAACCAGGACTGCAGAGCGTCCTCAAGTCCATCTCCCTGGCTTTAAACTTCAACTCATTGACCTTGTTACCAGGTTCAACATAGCTCAGCTCTCTGCTCTGCTTATTATAGGGCTCAGACACACACCCAAGATCATCAGCCGGTAAGCTGAGCCCCAGTTGCTGTCTGTGCATCCACTTGCAGCCACAACAAGTGACAGGTGCATCTACTCCAGCTTTTCAGATTCATCAGGGCTACATTTTCGAAGCGAATTTCCCCGTTATCCTGATTTCACAGGATGGAAGAAGCCTTGGGCTTGTACAAACTAAACTGCTTTCAGACTAAATCGAAGGAGGAGATCTAATATTGCTTTCACCGGTTAAGAAACTGAGCGGAATTGCCAAGTGCTGCAGGCACCCACGGCTGCTCCAGCCTCAGCAGCATTCCACAGCTACCACCACCCCACGGTAGTTACCATCCCACATTTTGCCCCCCCACATACCTGTGCCTCTGGGATGTGATCTCTCTCCAGGCCATCACAGCACCCAGTCCCTGCTCGCTCACAGTTTCAGCCCAAGTCTTTACAGACCCTCCTGAAGAGCCTCTGCACAGCCCCCAGTCCCTGCTGCTTGTGGACTGGTGCCAGGAGGTCCTGGATCCTCTGGAGTGCTCTGATAACAGCAAACATCCTGGCCGAGTTCCTCACAAAAGGAACTTTCCTCTAAGATTAACATTGCTGTGGATTTGAGGAATCGCTCAGCACTTGACATTTTAATCGGCAAAGGGCACTCCTGACAGTGAGAAATTCCAGATGCTGCGGTTATCTGGGAATAAAAAGAAATTACATACTTCAGGTAAATTGAATAACGAAGAGTCCTGACTGAAGGGGAGCAGGAAAGCAACACAGGCAGCACCAGGGGACAACAGGGTGAAACTCTTCAGTGTGCCCCAGGAGCAGCTGTGTCTTGACAGGTTCAGCATTAACAGTACCAGCTCAGTTTTGCTGTGTTATACTGGAATTGCAGGCGTTGAAAATCTAAGAAAATATTTACAAATATATTTTCGCAGTAGTGAGATCCCATATAGAAAAAAACCACCCTTTTTCTTCCTAAAGAAAGCTCCAGCTCAAAGCACAGAGCAAGAAACAAGAACCTGAGAAGCCGGGGCTGCACATTGAGGCAAGAGCAATCACTAGTTTTGGAAGAACCTCTTCTGCTTTACAACCAAATATGCCTTGCTTGAAGTTCCCAAGAACCGGATAAAAGTTTCTTACTGTCCCCTCTGTGACCAAGTTGGCAGCTTTTGTTTCCCAGTGGGGTCTTCAAAGGCTTTTCCGTTCTTCCTCTGAGAGAAAACTGTCCACTGAATACATATTTTACCAAGAAGATCCTGGAGATGTTCTTGGGATTTTATTTATTTTTTTTTTAATTTTTCCCAGAAATTTGAAAAGTTTTGGTTTATACGTGTAAATGATTTGCTCATTTGTGTGGGTTTCCAGTAAAGACAAACAAACAAAGCCAGAAACAATGACAGCTTGCCTGGCAAGGCAGTCTGTGTATTGTTGAGTAAGCTGGCAGTATGCTGAGGCTAAAATAACACAAATGACGAGGGGATATTCTACCCTAGCAGCACCCTGCTATAATTTATCACACAATCTGCCCCTGCCCATTTTTTGGGCACTGCTATCTCCTTGCTTTTTTTTTTCCCCCCAACAGAAACCCCAAAAAAAAAGGATAATACAAAATGGACTGAGAGGTCCTTTCAACAACTTTAAAAGGAAATTCAATGCCCATGTCTTTTTTTTTTTTTTTTTTTTTTTTTTTTTTTTTTTTTTTTTTTTTAATGCTACCAAGGAGTCTGTTTAAAAACTCATGTAAGTGGTTGAGCTGCCTAGAAATTCATGTAGAGCTACTAACATTGTCATTTGTACTTTTGATTTTTAACACAAATCACTGAAGTTATGGAATAGGTATCAGTTTCTCTCCTGAAACAGCTTTAATAGTAATTGATGACAGAACCGACCCCAGATTCTCAAACACTTAATAAAGAAACAGAAACAAGTTTTCTTCTCACAATATAGGTATCACATTATGCTGTTTCACATGTTGCTATAATGGCTGTTTACATGTCACTCAAAATTCCTCATGGCACCTACATTAAATATTTCCATTCAGGCCTAGGATGTCTTGCAAAATTTTAATAGCATATCCTCCTATTAAAAAAAAAACACCAGCTCAACCCAAATTCTAGTTCATATATGAAGCAAAACATTCTAAACACTGTCCAAACTGCCATTTCTTCCCAAAGCACAAGGAAGTTTATGCTCTTGTCTAAGCGGAGCTAAACAGAGCAGCATACCACTCCATATTTGTAAATGTTAACTCTGCAAGGTAGGGACTGGCTCCTGTATGCACCAGGCTTCTGGTCCTTCCCTGCTCCAAAAGCCACAATATGACATATGGGTACGTGCAAATTGAAGCAGCAAAGACAGACCTGGTGGCCCTGCCACAGAAAAACGTGCACTCTCACTTTTCGTGCCACATGTCATCCTGACTCCAAGAATTTTTTCAGAATTGCTTCCAGAAATGTGTTTTAGGTACCAGCTCCATGGCTTAATGATGTATTTGGGATAATTCCATGAGTCTGTGGGGCAGTTGCACCCCCAAATTTGGTGTATATCAGCAGTAGCTTCCCTAGAGTCAGTGGGGACTGTCTCTGCTGCTGTGAGTGTAGTATGAAGAGTTTAGAACTATGCTACTTCTTTAAAAATGTTCAAGGAAATGCTGGGAGAATTAATAGGGACAACACATGTAATCACCAACTGAATGTCGTATAAGGCCAAAGTACTCACGCCAACAGGTAGAAGACTGACATCAAAGAACCCAAGGACAGCCCTTTTTTGTGTATGTGTCATTCTAAAATAGACTCCTGCAAGCATCCTGGTTAATATAACACACTCTTTGCCAAATATGTACTTTAAAAATAGCAGTCAACTGTACAGCATACCTTGAGTGGTGTTAAAGTTGTCTAGGTTTTGTTATACAAAGACTAGGATAAGTTATAACATGCTGCCAGTGGAAAAAGGAGTGAAACGGCAAAAATGGAGCTGCGTAAGATTCTTGAATGAGAACTCAACAGGGAAGGTTAAACTGTAACAGGCATGCCACGACTTCAATAAATTAGGGCACTCACTCAGATGACTAAACATGGATTTAGGATCTCCAGGGATTCAGATGTTTACAGTTTGGCAATTAAATCTACCCTTGGGCATCCAAGGAAAAAATGTCCAGTATACCAGGAGTCTCCATACCTACGGCTCTAACAGCATGTAGATCTTGACATCCTGCCCAAAGAGGCCTTCTTTACACTCTTTTGAAATCCCGGTGTAGATTTCAGCTTTGGTAGTCTTTTATTTTCGGAGGAACTAATGTGGTTTTTGGCATTCCTTCTCAACAGTGATCAACTGATTATTGTCCCAAGTTTCTATGTCTCCCAGTTTTAAAAAAATAAGTCCAGCCTGTCTGAGATCTAGCTCACAAGTTCAGTAAAGCAGAAAGATTGTATTTGTTATTACTGGCCAGAACTGTATTAACCTCAACTGGGACAAGTTACTAGGAAATTGTTTCTGATCAATATTACTGCTTTTTTTTTTTCCTTTGGTACAGATAAAAGTAAGTTGAGGACCTGGTTGCTGCTACTTTCAAATGAACACTAACTGTGCAATTTGGAACTTGTTTTTGACTCCCTGTAGGTCCGCAGCAAAAGCAAAGCAGCCAAGGCCGGGCTGTGTGAGGGGGATGAGGTGGTGTCCATCAACGGCAAGCCCTGTGGAGACCTGACCTATGCTGAGGTCATCGTTCTCATGGAAAGCCTGACTGACGTCCTGCAGATGCTTATCAAGAGGTACAGGAATACTCAGAATGCTTTGGTGCAGCTGAGGGAATCACCTGGAAAATGCTGGCTTTGAGCACACTCATTTTACAGGCCTACACTGTGAGCTGCTGATAGTCCTGTTGCTGATGTCTGTGACTCTGCTTGTCTGCATGGAAAAGGCGGGAAGACAGAGTATTTGAGCTGGAGGAATTAATGCACATGATTTCAACAGCAGTGTTTGGGCACAGAATGAAGAATGCAGTCTCCAGAGAGAAGTATTCCTTATATTTGCAAACTGCAGAGCCTTGGGTTCAATTATTCTCTCTCCCCCTTTGAAGCAGTGAAGTGTTGTTATTCCCCACAGATAGGGAAGTGAGGCTTACAAAAAGCAAAGGCTGTATAGATGGGGAAAGTGTGTTACACAGATATGCCTTGATGATGACATGGCAAATGGTCTTCTTGGGTGGCAGAATGCGTTAGGAGTCAGAAGGGGGAGAGGGTCTGGAAGTCAGGAATTCTATTTCTGGAGCTGTTATCACCTCCCCAGACGAGATGGGGCAAGTCACTTACAGCTCTCTGGGTCTCAACTTCTGCATTTATAAAATGGTGAGGGTGAATTTCAATTGTCTTTGAAAATGCTTTGAGTTTCTTAGAGAAGCTTCATGTAAATCTGCAAATCTGCTCGTTGCACATTAGTCTACTGCAATGCCTGCCCACCTCCTGAAAGCACATCTATGAATTCAGACAAGATGAACTCTGAATTGCCTTCACTGGGGGTAAGAAGAGGATGAAAAGACTTGAAACTTCCACAGTCCCTCCTTGTAAGGATGTAAGGGTACCATTTGGGTGCTCCTCATGCGGTACCTGCGTTCTTACATTTTTAATTCATAACATGACCAGTGGAACTGCACTTGTAAAAATGGCATTTGTAGCTGACCACTTGTCTTTGCAGCCACAGAAATAGCTCCACATGCTTTGAGTCCTGCCTGTTGCCATTCTACAACTGATATTTCAGTTGTCTGAAGGCCACAGGACACCCTGGCTGAGAGGGACTCTCCCTCGGCCCTGCTTGAATGTACGGTGAACAGAAACACACAGTTTGGAAAGCAGAACCAAAACACCGCTTAGACCACCTAATTCAGTGTTTCATGGAACAAAACCATGTCTGGTAGAAATAATAAGGAACCTGCAGTTGTTCAACACTCTGAAAGTGATAAAATGTTCAAAAGGATTCACTATGAGAATCTTTGAATTTCTTTGTGTCTCCCAAATCCCAGCCTGTGCTGCCAGTAGCTTCCCAGGTATGGGAGAATAGACTGAAACATTTCTCTTCCCCCCCCACCTTGTTTGTGGGTACCATCCCTCTCAGCACTACCACCAGAAGGACTTTTCAGGAAGTGTCTTAGCATCCTCTGAGAGCAATGAGAAGCAAATCCTTCCTTTCCTGAGTAGCCACTTGTTAGCAGCCACCTCAAGAAAAAGCTGGAAATCACGAGGAAAGAATAATTACAGTGGTATTCCAATGGTGATCTTTACATCTAAGTATCTTTTGTTGGCAGGGAAGAATATTTTCCATTGGGAATATACTGGTTGTTCCTGAACCATCTGCATGAAGGATGAGGTTTTCACAGGCATTAATTGTTGGCCTAATTTTGCTCTTATTAATCTTCCTGGGAGGCAAATTAGGCTTCCCAAGTAGTTTAAAAAAAAAAGCTACTTGGCCTTTGATGTCTACAAGAAGTTTTCCCAATTCCCTGTAAAGCACAGTCAGTTACTGAGCAGCAGAGCCCAGAAAATGTCCTGTTTGCAGTATCAGAGGAAAGCGACACCCTGCAGGGCGGGCACTCTCCAGATGCCATGTGGGGGAGCATCTCCTGACCTTCCCGACAAATGCTGAACAGATGTATCCGGGAAAACACGGAGAGTGGGGCCTGAAACACCAGCCTGCCCTTTTCTCATCAGTGGGAGCAACTCCTGGGCTACTGCTGAGTCTAGAAAGAACATTTCCAGGGGGAAGGAGGGAGTGTGCTCAGTGCATACCGACATGAAATGCACCATGTAGGGAGTAAAACATGAGTCTGAGACAAACCCTGCCGTGCTGACTCCGTGGGTTCTGCTTCCTTCCTGGAATTACACCAGGGCTGTTGTTCCTGCAGCGAGCTGGAAAGGCCTGAAACAAAAATAATAATTTGACAAAACAGTCTCTTAAATGACAAAAAAAAAAGAGGTCAGCCCCAGTATTCTGCCTTTTGACAGAGGATAACATTTATGTCTATATAGAGTAGAAGTATATCCATATGTAGCAAGGGCCTTTTAAGGTGGAAATTTTTCCCTCTCACACATGCACACAATCACTCAGCTACCAATAAAGGCTAACAATTAGCTGGCCCAGCCCCCAGTCCATATCTTACATGGAAATGTTTACAGATTTCAGTAATTTATCTGTGCTTCAGAGCAGTACAATTGATCATCCAAATAGCATAATATGATGGGATCCAGCAGCACTCACAAGGAGCTCCCTAAATTAAAATCCGTCTGACCTTTCTGTAGCTCCATATGTGGGGAAATGGATGTTACACATTTTGTGCTTTTTGAGGCAGACCCAGAGTGCCATGAACAGTGTGCTGCATGGCTAGAAAAACAAGTGATATTGGTGCTGCTTCAGTGCGTTGACAGATCTATTTCTTCTGTTGCTTCTTCCAGCCTTTCTTTTCAAGGGATTCCAAAGTTTTCAGAATACCCAGCACTGCTTTTGATTTACAAAATCTCCATAATATCTAATATGAATACTTTATTGGGGGAACCTACTGCTCCTCTGTTTTGAAAAAGTGTTTTGGTACCTTCTAGTCCATAGAAAGTCTTAATAACATCCTGTAGTTTTGCTGTACAGAGAAAGTTTCTTCTCAAATTAATAGTAGTCAGTATGGTCCTGAAAGAAGCAGTAAAACAGACTAACTGGGCCACGGGAATTAATAGTTTAGGGAAAGGAGCTACACTGAGATTTACAGTAGGCTTCAGGAAGTGAAAATAACATTTTCCAGTTAGAAATATATATTTTTAAGTAACTAGGAAACGTTGCATAGGTTCACTACCCTTTTATGCCGGATCACTGGAATAGGCCCAGAGTATTTTAATTGATCCATGATATATAAGGATGATGATCCTCACAGGAACTCTTTGAATGTGTATTTTAAGTATTCATTCCCCTCCCTCTGATCCTCATCCAGTACTTATGTATCCCTCAGAGAGTGAACTGTTTGGTACAGGAACTCCACGTGAGGATGGTGCCTGGCACAGCTGCAACCACAGAGCCAAAAATTCACCCCTGTTCTGGTGTCATGAAAAGTTAATTTTCTGATGGGCATGTGAAATATTGTCCCAGAAGTCTCAGCAGCATTTGCCTGGAAACCCTGTAACAGAAATGTGTCTTTGAAAGCATCCTGATGTTAGGAATGATACAGTTCTACTACTGCTGTGTAATTTCCCTCTTACTGAACTTTTACATTGAAGAATCTTGAAAAATTCAAAGATGCCTCAATTTCAGATCTCTACATTCTGGGAAAATTCTTCTATTTGTTTGGACCTGCTGACAGGTACCACAGTTAATATAAGGGGTGAAATACTCTAGAGAAACTGCTTTTGTAACTGTATTTACAATGGCTGTGCTTACAGCAGCCTAATTTCTAAAATTACTTGTTTATGTATGTGCAGACCCTCCAGTGGAATCAATGAAACCTTGAGTGCTGAAAGAGCAAATGGAAAGCCCGAGAACGTGAAAAACGAGGACTACAGGGAGAACACCACACTGCAAATTAACAGAGCGACAGAGATACCCCGTGGAGATTTATGCATCACAGAGATATACAGTGGCACTCACCAGGGAGCAGCAGAAAGCAACGTAAACTTTTCTGAGACAAAACAAGACACCACACAAAGCCCCAAAATCACTCCTAAAGTGATAGGCGCCTCCAAAGTGCTCGTGGCAGACGAGGCTGCTCTCAGAGGGAAGACAGAAGAAAGAAGGCCAGGTACTGTGGTGGAGCTGCAGCTGTCCCTCTCCAATGACACAAACAAGGGCACCAGTGCTCCTGCTGTGACTCTCCTGGGGGCAGAGAAAGGCCCCCCTTCAGCACGAGGAGCCAGTGGACAACAGGACGGGACCAGCCCCCTCATTGCAATCCCCCTGGCCGGGAAAGAGGGGCACGTCCAGTGGTCAAACAAAGTAGTCCAGTTTTCCAGCAGCAAAGAGGTCAAGAGGATCCAAGGTGCAGTTCCATCTATCCCCAGGGTGGAGGTGATCCTAGACTGTTCAGACAGGGAGCAGGAAGCGCCCAGGTCTCTGTCTGACAGGGGGTGTGTTGATTCTCAAGCAGAAGGAGGGCAGTCAGAAGCACCTCCTTCCCTCCTCTCCTTTGCAATCTCACCAGAAGGCACAGAGCAGGGAGAAGACAACAAGCCCTCGGAAAAGGAACACAGACCTCTCAAGCACAGGGCAAGGCACGCAAGTAAGTATGTCCCATCGAATCATTTGCACTGCCTGAGGGCATCTTTTGTAACTGTAGATATAATTTCAGGATTTAGAAGGCGTTAGAAAGAAATGTTTAGAGATTTATTTTTTTTTCTGGCAGTTTTCTAACTTTCTCTCTCCTTTTTTCTTTTAAACAATGTTTCTGTTCTTGCTTTAGATATTTTTTCAGGGTACTACAATGCTCCTGGTGACAAGCCAAGAGTATAGCCATGCCTTAACTGTGCTGAATAACTGTGCTTACTGGACTTCCACTTTGAAATTAACTCAGGACTTTGTCCAACTAAAAATACTTACATCTCCAGAAAGGGCTGAACTCTGCTGCTCTTCTAATGCATATTCAGAGACAATCTGTAGACTATTAACAAAAAGAGCAAGTTGCTTGCACATGTGACTCCTGGGGATTTCTCCTTTTATAGCAAAAGCTTTGCGTTGCCATTTGCATCATCTAGAAAATCAAAGCCACGCCACTGCTCTCAAAAGTTAATCAAAAGGGCCAGCAGCAAAGCTTGATGTTGCCTGCAGAAGAGATTTTGACAGACACCAGCATGTGTATAACTGTTACATGATCCTTTTGGTTTTGTCAGCCTTCTCCAGACTGTAAAGTGAACACGCTATTTCTCCTGACTCCCATACCCAGAGGTCAGCTTCAAAATGTGTCCAAGAAGTTTACGTGGAAGTAAACTTGCCAGTTGGGCGTAGAAGTGTATTATTTATTAATTAACCTATTTATTTATTTATCTGTCTATTATTTTCTTCATCTGGGACCTCTCTGTTGGTGGCTTGCTCCTTCCCAGCAATGTGAAGAATCCTGTCTGGGGATTTAGCAGCAGTATGTCAAAGGTGCCTGAATGTGTGCAGTGATATACTGGAGCAACAAGCTATTTCATATGCAGTGTTGGAACTCCTCTGCTAACCCACTGCTAATTCCTCTGGAAGCATATTTTTAGCATGATAACCATTTGTGTCTTATTGGCAAGTGGATTAAGCAGTTACTTATGCCTAAGTGTCTGTATGCAACCCACATATTTTGGGCATATTAAATGAAGAATAAAAGAAAAGTGCCCGTGCTTCACATTTTGGCTGCGAAGGCAGAACCAACTGTGGGACTGTGCCTGTTTTTCTTAAAGAATTACTTGCAGTGCCTGTCTGAAAAGGCAAAAGTACAAAAGCATGAACTGCATTTTACTTGATAAATTCTTCTTTCAAGCAGGACATAGATCCAATTCTTTTCCCATGCCAACTATGATAATCTCAGTTTCTTCTCATCTAGTGGCAAGTCATTATCCTTAGGAACCGCTGATTTAATCTACAAAAACTTTTGCATTATTATTAAAATCCTACCCAGACTTTAGAATGAACAAATTGCTGAGCACAGGGAAAACTCTGTGTGCAGCAAATACTACGCATGTTATCTGCAAAAATAGAGGTTATAATGCAGCACTTCAGTCTGAACTAGAGAAGAAAATTTATTAAAGGTGCTTGATCTCTTTAGCAGGAATTTCCTCTGTAAATAATAATCAGATGATATTTACCTGAACAGGTAACACTCTAGCACTACAGGCCATACTTTCGGAAAGAGCATTTGGATGGTTACAGGACTGAGTTAAGGATTCTGTGATTGGACTCTCCCACGATAAAATATTACAAATTTCTGTGTTTGGGTGCCATGCTCTTTCACAGTTCTTGTGAGAACCATTGGTCCAGTCGTGCTGTCATCTGGCATAATGGCAAAACTCCAATTGTCTTTAATAGGAGAAGTATCAGCTCCATCTACTGACATGGCTAAAAGGATCATGAATAGACAACACCTCATCACGTGGCTTTCTTTAATAGGTTTGCTTTCTGTATATTAGCAAAAGACACTAAATCATTTACTGCTCTATTTTCTTATATCAGAGGCATGTTTTTTCCTTTTGAAATTAGGTGGAAGGGACCTCTGATTTCAAAAGGAACAGCTTTGAATTCCAGCTTTTTTTTTCTGAAGGGAGAAGCCACTGAGGCTGTCACTCATGAGATGCAGTGGCAGAGTATGAGGAAAGGAAAGAAACAGGGACACCACCTGACCAGCACTGCCCCATGAGGCACATGCTCCATATTCCATAACAAGGAAGCAGCCAGGCTGACATACAGAGCATCCATCAGCTTTACAGCTGCATCTGTTCCCCTTCCACATGACTTGATGAAAACCAGTCATTTATGCTTTAAGAAATATGTGCCACTGATACATGCTAGTGAATACACTTGAGAAGTCAGTCGTGTATTCATTCTTGCCACATTTTCAAAATATTCTGGAGCTCTTATATCCTACACAACTTTAGATTATATGCCAGGCAAGTAAGGCTTGTTAAAAGACTGAAACCTGCTTTCCTTGAGCCAAACTCCCACATCTTCCAAGGGGCTGAAAGCTGGTGCTAATAATTTTCTGTGTATGCCTTTTTGGATGTATATTTACTTATAAACAGCTAATACATAGAAGCATCCTATAGCAACTATACACATTTTGTAATTTATAGGAGTAAAATAAACACCTAAATGGCAGAAGCTGCCACCACTGTGTGACAGAACATGCTCGGTTTCATTCGGTCTCAGATATTAAACAGTCTGGCTCGCTGGGAATGGCTGCTGGAAGCCCAGGAATTGTGGTCAAACACTCAGTAAATACCAGACCAGATATTGGATAAGTGAGAAAATATCTCACCTGCCTGTTGCTGCTGAGATTTCTTGGGGGAATAAAAATTAAGAATGCTAGAAATAAAGACACATGCAATGTTCCTGTTGAACTAAGAGAGTCCTAAAGATGAAGCCTTTGAACTTGCATGGGTGTGACTCTAAAGAATGTTGGGGATGGAATTTACAACACAGCTGATACTGGGAGAAAAGCTGAAGTGTAATGAGCTTTCCATACAGAAGAAAATAAATGTTTTGCTATGGGAAAAGAGGAGGGTGGATAACTTTCAGTGTAGATAAATGCAGCTGTTAGTCCCCTTGTAAATGTGTGGGATGCTTGTAAATAAACGTGTGCTTTGATTCTCTCCACAGGGCTCCGACGAAGTGAGAGCCTGTCGGAGAAGCAGGTCAAGGAAGCCAAATCTAAATGTAAAAGCATTGCACTGCTGCTGACAGCAGCTCCCAACCCCAACTCCAAGGGGGTGTTGATGTTCAAGAAGCGCCGCCAAAGGGCGAGGAAATACACTTTAGTGAGCTACGGCACGGGGGAGTTAGAACGGGACGAAGACGAGGGCGAGGAGGGCGAAGGTGAAGAGGGGGACAAAGAAAACACCTTCGAAGTGAGTTTGCTTGCCACCAGCGAGTCAGAAATAGATGAAGATTTCTTCTCTGACATTGACAAGGACGGTAAGATCGTGACCTTTGACTGGGACAGTGGTCTACTGGAGGTTGAGAAGAAGACAAAGAGCGGAGAGGAGATGCAGACGCTCGCAGACAGCACAGGGAAAGGGGCCCTCATGTTTGCCAAGAGACGGCAGAGGATGGATCAGATTACAGCGGAGCAAGAGGAGATGAAGGCCAGCACGGTGCAGACAGAGGAGCACAGGGAAAGCACGGTGACAGAGAACTTCCAGAAAGTAAGCTCTTCGGTCTATCAATCAAAGGAGGAGGAAACATCAAGACAGCAGACCTGCATGAGCAAAAGCTACACAGACGTGAGCCAGAACCACAGCAAAACGGTGCAACAGAACGGCTTTGGCTTAGCACCAGGCACAAACCTCCCTTTTCAGTCCTCTGGAGCCCCCAAAGCACCATCTTTGAATATAACAGCTAAACCCTTCCCTTCCGGGGTTCAAAACAGAGCAGCTGCACCGTTTTCACCTGTCCGAAATGTCACTAGTCCTCTTTCAGATGCAGCAGCACCGCCTCCCTACTGCTCTGTCAGCCCACCGGCCGAGGCTTTCTACAGACCTGTCTCAGCTCCTGTGGCCAGCAAGGCTGCCCCAAGTCTGTGGGCGCCCCCGGAGCCCACGGAACACATAGCGTCCAGGGACGAGAGGATTGCCGTGCCAGCCAAAAGAACTGGCATACTGCAGGAGGCCAAGAGAAGAAGCACTTCAAAACCCATGTTCAACTTCAAAGATGCACCCAAAGTAAGTCCTAATCCCGCCCTGTTGTCCCTCGTACACAACTCGGAGGGCAAAAAGGGTGCTGGAGCTGGTTTTGAGTCAGGACCCGAAGAAGACTACCTCAGTTTGGGAGCAGAAGCTTGCAATTTCATGCAGACTCAAGCATCTAAACAAAAGGCCCCTCCTCCCGTTGCTCCAAAACCTTCACTCAAGGTCTCTCCTTCCGCCGGTGCTCCAGTTTCACCGGTTTGGTCACCTTCGGCTGCGGCTTCTAACAAGGCTCCCTCTTTCCCAGCACCAGCCTCACCTCAGGCAGCGTATCCTGCACCACCGAAATCTCCGCAGTACCCTCATTCTCCCACCCATCCCCCAAGTACTCTCAACTTAGCCGGTCCTTTCAAAGGGCCCCAGGCGAGCCTGGCAAGTCCCAGCTGTGCCCCGAAGTCAACGCCAGTCACACCAGGCGCCGGGGAAACGAAGCCCCCCTTTGAGATGCCACCGGCCATGAGCGGGAAAGGAGCACAGCTGTTTGCCAGGAGGCACTCCCGGATGGAGAAGTACGTGGTGGATTCAGAGACTGTGCAGGCAAACATGGCACGAGCCTCATCTCCAACTCCGTCTTTGCCAGCTTCCTGGAAATACTCATCCAACGTCCGAGCACCTCCACCTGTTGCTTACAATCCCATCCACTGCCCGTCTTACCCTCCTGCTGCTTCCAAGGCTTCCTCTAAGTCTGCTGCTGCCACCAAAAACACGAAAAGAAAACCTAAGAAAGGTCTCAATGCTTTGGATATTATGAAACATCAACCTTATCAGCTCGATCCGTCTTTATTTACTTTCCAGCCTCCTAAGGAAAGCCTTGCCATGAAGCAGACATCGAAGCTGTCCCCTTCCAAGCAAGCTCTACCTTTGCCTCCCTTCCTCCCACCCGGTGCTGGCTCTCCCACCAGGGCCCGGCCATCTTCAGTGTACTCTGTGCCAGCCTACGGTTCCCAGCCTCCGTTCCAGTCCAATGCCTCTCTCCCAGTCAATGAATCCTATTCACCTACAGGCTACTCCGCATTTTCTAAGCCAGAAACCACCACCCCCTCTTTGTTTACCGCTCCGAGGCCAAAATTTTCAGCCAAGAAAGCTGGAGTCACCGCACAGGTGTGGAAGCCATCAGTTATTGCAGAGTAAAGCCTAGAGCTCAAACTTAGTGTCCGTGTTGCTTGCAGCCACCGGTTTGCAGCGCTCACCCGGCACACAAACGGTGCCAGCGGTACTATTCCTTAGCTCACCTAACAATGTCAGATGTATCACCTCAAATCTGGGTCCAAAAAATCATTGAACTTTTTGAAGGAGTCAAAAGAGAGACAAATTTTAGCACATTTATGCGTATTATCGGGTGCTTTATAGACAAACGTTCTGAAATGAAGAGATGACTGAAGTGAGCAGGACACTAGGTTTTTGCTTTAGGATCACAACAGAAACAACAGTAAGCAATATTCCTGGTATGTCAAATTAATAGAGAAGTGCTTTCTTTCTGTCCCTCTCCCCAGCTGTGTTCTAATGACCTAGGGATTTGAGGACTTTGGTGGTTGTGGTTTTTTTTTTAAAAAGAAGTGCCTTATTAACTAATAGTAATATGTATTATTAACATAGCCTAAAATAGACACAGTATTAGACTCTGACTGATCACTAGCAGAATACAACTGGAGAGACCTTTAGCCTGCACAGAGAGCCATGGAATTCACTCAGGATCTGTCCTGGCTCAAAGGTCCTTCCACAGGGATCTGATTGATCAGCCAGGGGCTTAGCTTTTAAGCTACGTGGATCAGCTGTGATCCAAAAAATCATGAATTGCCTCTGTGATTTCACAGAGAACGTGCTTATCAGAGATGCTGGAGTGTTCTGAAGACTAAAAGAGGTGGAAAGACAGCTGGACAAATTGTTAGAGGTTTCCCATTTTGGGGGAAATTTGACATCCCAGGTGCAGGCATATTTTTAGCCAGAGTTTGCCTCGAACCCAGCCAGTAAGAGAGGAGTGTGTAAATCCAAATTCTGGGGCAGTCAGAGAGGGGAGCTGGGTTCTGCAGCTGCAGTGTAATGCACCAGTTTCTTGTGAAAGCACAGTGATTTTGAATGAAGGGCTACCTATAGTCAAGAGCACTGATTCTTGCACCCAGAGTAGTAATTAACAGTAAATCATGATTATGACCATGTCTTCCTATTGGTCTCTCGTACATTTTATTATTTTCACTTGGGGCCCTACAGTGCTTCTTCCCACTTCAAATCTTTTTACTCTGGTCTTATTCCTTCACCTTTTACTTGCTGTACTGGGGACTAAGGATTGAAATACTGCTACTGTAGGAAGTTCTGAAGAGACTATGGTCTTCAAACCAAACACAGAGCCTTGCTGAAGTCAAGGAGCTATGCTGGAGTAGTTTAGCATGTCTTTCAGTGAAAGCAGTCCTGTTGCCATCAGGGGTGCTAGGGCTGAAACAAGGTGCTCTCTCACACAACTAAGGGGATCCAAATCCATCCCAAGTGTGAAGCTAAAGATTAAAGCATCACTCTGCGAATAAAGGTGGCAGAATCTGTTGCTATATTTGTTTAAACTCTCATTCAGCTAGTTAGACACCTACTATGGACCTTTTATATCATAAGGGGGGGGTTGTACAACTATCTATCTTGATGAAGAAAACATTCCTAAGTATGAACAAAATCTCCTTAGCTTGGTCCCATGATGGTAACTCAAACTGCAATTAAAATTGAGAAGAATATATTTGGTTGTGATGCAGAAAGCAGGTGGAAATCAAAGTCTAATCAAGCTGATAAAAATCACTCCTGTCAATTTTGGATCTCTAAAATTACACTCTCCCCTTTCAATTTTGGATTGGGATGCTGACTGCATTAGAAGAAAATGACCAAGTGATCCATCTCTCTCTTAAAATTCAGGAGAAATACGGGAAATTTTGTGGGGAAAATATAGTTTGGGAAACTCAGGAAATATTTATACTGCATTTACTTGGAATTAGGAAGTAGCAATATTTTAATCCTTTGGAGATCTCCCTTCTATCTGTTTTTCACTTCCAACATCTGTATTTTTCTTCTATCATTAAACTTGTCCCTTTCCTCTCTGCCTGTTTGCTGGTTTTTTTCTTTGGTTTGGCTGCTATTTTTTGGTTTCACTTACATGTACAGGCTGACAGTATATTTTGGGGGGAAATCTATCTTCTGTGCCAGCCTGTTATTATGAAACCTCCTCCCTCCCATTCCCCCTTCCCTTTCCTTTTCCTCTCCCTTTCCACCCTCCCTTCCTCCTTTTTTCCCCCTCTTTCAAAGTCCAGTCTGAAGTTACACACATTATTTCAGGAAGACATTTAAGATACCAGTATGTACCTGGGATAAAGATACTCTCCCAAAGGTAAGTAGTGCTCCTAGAGAGAGAGACACAGAAATCCAGTCCTCCTCCTGTTGCCTTACATGCTTTTGTTTACAGTGTCTTCCTGGGAAGTGCAACTTGTAATTTATGATCACACTTATGGACTTGTTCACCCCATCACCACAAGAGTATTTCCTTCATGAGGGGATCCATAACAGTTTTGTACTTCCAAGCATCCCACGTGAAACCTGGGAATTTACCAAAATCTAACTTCTAGCAAACACAGGTCTGTAGGACAGGCTGCTTTCCACGTGAGAAATAATAAGCATTACTATTCTAATTATCACCAGAATAAACAAGCAGTAAAGCTGGGAAATGTTCTCATCAGCTCTCCAGAAAAACAGAAGTTTACAGGAGCTAGGGAAGAGCTATGGGGTGAAAGAGAACATTTCAGTTTCCTGAGTTACGTGCCTTAAATCAAGGTGGCAGAGAGAAATGCATAATGGCCATCTTTAAAATTGTTTTGCTATTTTTTTTTTCATTTTCAGCACAACCCAGAAGTTCCCTTAGGGAATAACCTAAAGATGATTCCCTTAGGGAATCACCTAAACACACCTATGTGTGTTTGCAGCACCGAGCAGAAAGTCCATTTCTGTGTCCTAACTTCTCTTTACTTTATCCAAAAGAAGAGGAAGTGTGTCTATGCTGAAAATTTGAATTTTCCATCACATCTGGATTTTTTGCTGCTGTTCAAATATAAAGATTTCATGTGGCCTATGGCAACAGCAAAAGGATTTTTAAAGCTCCAGCAAGAGTTAAAAACAAAGCCCCAGTGACACTGGTGCTCTTAAGTCAGTTAAGATCTTTTGAAAATCCCAATCAAAGCCCAACTGTGAATTCAATTTAACATATACACATCATTCTACATGCACAGTGCTTGGATCCAACTGGGCTTCAGGATTCTTTTTACTGATCAGGTAAGTCTTCAATGCTTTTTAATATTTCAGAAGACTAGTCTACTTAAAGTAACAGGTTTGTCCAAGATGTAATCTGTGGTGGAGCAGACCTTTAGAGCAGAGTTGAGCTGCTCATTGTCATGGGTCCAGATGAAAAGCTAAGGATGATGTCAAATGTAGCTGGAATGTCAAGGAAATGAAGGGTTTGTGTTGAGGAGCCAAGTGAAATTTCAGAATGGAACAACCAGAAAGAGATTTCAAGGACTCTTTTTTTTTTTTTGTAGGAACATTTACAGAGCAAACTTTATATACAATCTCTTACAAGTATACCTAGTTTAGCTTCATTTTATTTTGCACACCCAATCTTATTTTCTGTGAGACATGCAAGAGTCAGGACACAAAATCAGCCCTAGAAACTGCAGTGATCCGTTTTGCTGTCACCACAGCAGCAGTGTGGCAATGAGTTTGCTTTCTTTTGGGCAGCCTGTTGTTTTAAATGAATGTTCAGAATTACACAATGTTCAGAATTACACAAACTTGTATTTGAAATAAAGAAATACTAAGAGGCTGAGGCATCAGCAGGCTCCAAAAACATTAGGAGGTGAGGAGCTGTTGTGTGACTCAGGTAGAAAAATTAGGGCTTAGTGGCAGAGCAGTAATTTTGAGAGAAAATGCTACTAGGATTAGAGAGGGGCAAGCTGTGGGGAGAAAACCCCACAAAAAAAAACCTGCAGGGACTGCACAGGATAAAATACCTGTCAGAGGATCACAAAATTATGAAGGTAAAGGCCAACCAGGAAGAAGAGTTCACTTATTCTGCACAGAGATGGCTATTTCCAGACTTTCACTGAAATGTTTTGGGTTTTGTTGACCTTTGGTAAAAGATCATGAGCAATGATTAAAAGAACTTCACACCAGGTGATGTGATCTGGGAGGAGCAGTGCTTACCAAGTACCCAGGATGACACCTCCACAAAGGACCAGCCTGACCATCCTCTCTGTGGGGAATCCTCTGTCCACCCGAGGCAGGGAAATACCAGGGAGATGACAGCAACTAACAGTCTGCAAAATCTTTCTCCTCTCTTTTTTCCAGGGTCCTTTTCCAGATTTGGTAGCTTTAAGATTCCAAAACATTTGGTTCTAAAAAGGTTCACTCTTCCAGTCTTGCCTTTTCCCCCGTGACCCAACTTTCCTTACCCGAAGCCAAATTCCCGGGATCCTGCTGGTTGCTTTGGTGGTTCAGCACGGCAAGTGCAAATCTTAATTCCACAGCTTGGCACAATGTTGTTTTATAAGGACTGTCTTCAGCTTGAAACAGGAATGTTGTACAAGGAAGAAACTTGATAAGGTCCTCAAAAACCTGTGGATTCCGAAGCTCTGACTGAACTCCCTGCTGGTAGATTCCTTGGGAAAACATCACAACTTCTCAGTACCCAGGACAATGACTGATCTTCCCTTATAGCAAAATCACCTTTGCACGTGACTGATTGCATAAGGAAGGAGTTGGAATCACTCAGGAGTTACGCTTGACAGGAGCTTTTCAGGCTGGTTGCTTACTAAAGGAAGCACTTTAGGCTTTTTATCAAATGATTAAAAAAGTAGGAAAAATCCTGAAACTCCACAAAATGCTGTTAGAAGACACTCCAAAAAACCTTTTCCCTCACAAGCCATGACCAACCCTAAGATGATATTCCCATGGGTTTAACATTTGCTTCCTCAAGTAAGGCAGGCAAAGCCTTTTTCTTTCTATGCTAATCAAGTCTCCTGTTATCCTCTCTCAAAGGAAAAAAAATCTACCCCTGTTTGTAATGATCTTGTCAAACTGTT